GAGCATCAATCCTATAAAAAGCAGAGATCTTTGCTCTTCTCCCTCCTCAAATACCTGAACTATTGCCGGAGGGCCATCAAGATTAGTGTGAGGTCAAATCTGTCTCCTCCCATTTTCAAATAACAATACTGAAATTTTTGAGGTGTAGCAGATAAGCAGAGCTATCACCACTCTGACCCATATTAAAAAGTTCTATTCTTCTCTAAAGTATGCTCATTCACTAAGATGAATGCGTCACTTTACACTTCTTTAGGCCAAACACCTTGAGAATGGGCTTCAGGCAGCAGAAATGCTTGTACTGATGGTGGATCCACAAGCACTATCAGCATAACTCTCAGTTTAAAAGAATCTGCCTCCAGTCATCCTTTGCTTCTTATTTGGCAAGGTCTCGTTTGTGTTGGCACAATCATTTATGTGGCGAAGTGGTTGCCCAGCTGACAGAACTGATTTAAATTAAAACTAACCTATTAAAAAGTCCCTCTAAAAAACCCATTTGTTATTTTTTTGTTTTCAATGTTTTGGGAATGGTAATATTAAACATGGCAGATAGTGAAGGACAGTTTATTGGAACTGCACTACCCAGTCAGAACTTCCAATGCTGTGCACAACCCTCTTTCCATGCATGAGGCTAAAATTTAAGGTATAGACAGACAAGTCAACAGAACAATCTGTGAAAATTACAGCAGAGCTGTATGATGCTGAGTCTCACCCCAACTCCATAGCTAGGTTAATGCAATGGGAAGTCTTACATTATCTTGTTCCAGTTGCTTACTCCACATCCAAAGATAAGAGCTTATACTGAAGGCATTTTGTGACATGTACATCTAAGCGGCCTGAATCTGGTTAGAATGGAAATCTATGTTATCTTCACTTTCTCAAAAATGAACTTGCAGGAACCCGAGCCCTGCAGGATGTTATGTAAAACAACCGAGCAGATATAAGAGCTCACCACAGCAAAAAGGCCTTCCTCCTCCCCGCTTCCTGCAGGAGCAAGCTTTGCGGCATTGGGCTGTCAGCACCTGCAGAATGGCCTAAAACTTCAGCCAAGATAGAACTATAAGATCAAACTGTTTCTACATCCACAGTCAGTGTCTCTGAAAGTACTCAGGAATGTTTTACCAGTAGATACAGCAGGAATGTTCCCGTAAAACCGCATAAAGACTCAAACACTAGCTAGACGAACATCTTACCCCATATATTCCATAGGGAATTTACATAGATATAAGATTAATTATAAAATTTGGTATTTAGACATTAAAACATTTAACACTGCAGTTCTTGCACCTGGGAATGAGGGTCTGCTGAACTCATAATGGGTTCTTGAAACGAAATGAAGAGGTATATACGTTACATACTAAATCATTACCTGTAGCATATCGGTGTTCCTCAGAAAATTCCCATCCAAATACTATCACAATTTTAAGCTTTTTGTTTGAAAGATTCAAGGTGTAAGTCAGGATATCAACAGCTTGCTAAGTGGCCTTTAAAATGACCCCTATCTTGTAGCCAAGATATTGTATGTAGAAGGTTAACACTTTGATTATGCTGTATTGAGTGTAGGTATTTGGAAGGATAGCTAATGGAAAGCAACAAGTAAAAAAACTAGATTGAAAGAGAAGCAAAAATTCTTGAATTATATTGGCAATTATCTGGGTTCTGTTGTGTGGGTTTTAATAGTGTACAGTAACAGGAAAGGTACCAAAAAGCACACTGGCAAAGCCTCCACTCAACAAATTTCATACACGGGCCCAGCTGAGTTGGGACAAGGGATTATTCCCTGACTTAATGGGACTTCCACTTGCATAGAACAGGCCTTTCAAAGCCTTTTTCTAAAAATCAGTACAACACTGGATGCACTCAGGTTTCTGTACACAGTATTACTGCCAAAAATATTTTCTCGAGAATTTTGCAAAAAGCTAGCAGAAATCACACTTGTTCGAAGATTAACTTTGCAAATTTGTCCTGGTCAAGGACTCAAATGATGTTTAATAGATTTGTAACTCAGAGTAACTCCTCCTCCCTCCCTCGCCGCCCCCAAGAATGTCCTCTCCTTACCAATATCCTCTGATTTTATTTTGGCATGCTGTCAGTGGATTTTGCAGAGACTTTGTTCCCTGGCTTTCAAAATGCAGAGATGATTTAGAACATCTACTTTTGAGCCTTGTTAATGCTGACGTCAGAGTAACAGCACTAGCTTTAGCAGAATTGAAAGTTTCAAACATAATGAGTCTTCGCTGCTAACATAGCTGTAAAATGTTAAAATGGTGTCAAGCTAAATTAATAAAATGTTCTTAGTGTGTGGAAGGCCTTGGTTAGCCTGTGAGTAGGAATATACTGGTTTTCATTTTAATTCACAGTTCACCATTATAAAGTAAGAGCCAATGAAAAGCCATGTTCTAACTTCTGCTATAAAGGAGTGTGAATTAAAGCCTCAACAATCTAGCAGCCGCTTTTTAATTATATATATATAAAAACCCAACAAAACCCAAAACAACTTTTAAAGTTGTTTCTGCTTATGTCATGTTAGTGAAATTTCAACTCTATCTTCTATCTTTCATGATAGGCCTACTTGTGGACTCCAGAGCCTTGCTTACATATACACTCCAATTTTTCATGCAGAATAGTTTCAGAGCAGCATTGAGCACCACTTACACACACACACACACACACACCACTGAATACATGCTTAAATATTCTGATAGCCTGATCCAGCATACAGAATTTCAAGTTTTCATTTGCAAACATCCCCACTGAAGGACTGCATTTTCTAGCGGCCAGTAAAATTTGTTAGTCACTGAGGCCTGACTTGGATGGTCCATTAATATTTACTACAATATTCTTTCATATTTACTTATCTTTAAAGGCCTATGGGTAAGAAACATGTCTTAGTTTTTAACTTTAAAACAATGGGCTTAATGAAATTTACTGATGCAGTTAATGCTAAATCTTAATTCTGGTTTTCAACATACATTCCAAAAAGTAGAAATAAAAATGAGCTATTGTCCTATTACTTCCTGATAGGGATGCTAACTCTTCTACACCTCATAGTAGGAAATACGCAAGAGGTTAGAGAGAAACATTTAAGTAGGAAATGAGAACATTAACATCTCAGCTATTTAACAGACTTTTATGGAGTGCTTGCAAAGGTATACCCAATTTCACTTTACATATGCAATATTTATGTCTCTAAGAAAGTATCTCTTAAAAATTTTGACAATCGTTGAGTTAGAAAATCAGAATCAGAGGCAGTGCATGTACATCTTTAGGTGTGTAGCTTCTTGTAGAACTTGTGAACTGCTTAGTTTCAATATAACATTAGTACTACTGTCTACAGTTGTGTCCTCCACAGGGGATATCTGATATTAAAAAGCTCATGCAAATTAAATATAATTGTCAAGTGCCCATCAGAAAGAAAAAAATATGAAAAAATGCATATTGAAAAATCATGAAATAAGGTTGCAGTGAAAATTGAGATAGTGAAAAGGAAAGTAATGAAAATACATCGATCATTTTATTTCCAACTAAGAAACTCCAGGTCCACCAGTGCAACTGTAAGCAAAAAAGGAAGTAAGATTTTCTTATCCAGCCTCTTCACAGAAAAAAGGCACAACATAAATTGAGACTATTAATTACATGGCTTTGTTCCTTGAATTCTGCAGCTCTATCACTCCCAAAACTTTTGTGATGGACACTGGCAAATATATATAGCTTATAAATGATACACCTGCAGCCAAAACTGAATTATTAGGATACAAGAATCACGTAGGGATGCAGCATTTCACCAGTTAAAGTATATGAAACTCCACTGTAATATACCTAAAATCTCTGCGTAAACTATTTCCTATTGTTGGTCCAAAACCAGTTTCAAAGAAACTTTTACATGTCTGTGACCTCAGAAATACAAAGAACATATTTGATCTATTCAGTGCATGTGTACTTGCAGAAGCCCACCTACGCAGACTGTCAGGAATGTGTTTATTTAGCACACTTTTTGCAACTGTGAAGATAAGCACAGTATACAGGCTGTGTGTACAACAGAAGCCCAGCATGTACTACACTAAGCGAGCATGTGTGTGTTTGTGCACGTGTTCCCACAAGGAGGATATCCCTTTCTGGCACCACTAAAAAAATGATTAGTATATGTCAGACCATAACACTATTACTTTGGATGCCAACCAAATGGAAGCAGAACCCAAACTTCACTCTGCAGCTCTGCATCCACATGGATCACAGCGAGTCAGGTCTGTTGTACATTGCCATAGACTAGGTAGAGGTTTTATTGTATCATGGTGATAGATCCATCCACTATGGCTAGCAGCCGCCTAAAAATGTTCAAGTACTGCTCGGTTTCGGTAACCTCGATTTCTGTGAGTTACACTTTAAAGAGAGCATCTCGAGTGACGGCAGGGCCTCGCCGAGCCGCCGGCAAGTCAGCGCCCGGCGTGGCTGGGACGGGGCAGCGGGCACTTTCCCGCATTCCTCTGCGCATCCCGCAGCGGATCCCGCTGCACGGGGCGCATCCCCGCCGCCCGAGGCGCGGCGACACCGCGGGCTTCGCGCAGATACGCTCGCACGCCCGGGCTGGTGGCGCGGCCCTGGCAGCGGATGCGACTCAAGCGAGATGCAGCCGAGGTCCAAAGGCATCCGAGAGCTGCTCCTTCGGCGGGGCCGGCCCGAGGGAGCAGGAGGCGCCGGGGCGTTCCTTGCGCTTCGCCTCCGGGATGCTGCCGGGACTCCCCGCCAGCGCGGGGCGGAAGGGACCGGCTGGGGCGGGAAGGCCCCCCGGCCGCGCTGTTCCCCCCACTCCCGTCCCAGCCCGCTCCTCTCCCGTCCCAGCCCGCTCCCGCCGCCCGCTACCCTCCCAGCTGCACGTGCCGGCGCGGGGCCCCGACCGGCCCCGGGGCAGCCGCCGCGGCCCGGCCCCGACCCGGAGCCGCCGGTTCCGGACGGTGGCCCCGTCCGGCCAGAGCCGACTCCCGAGCCCCCCCCCGCCTACTTACCTGTGCTGCAGCCCCACCAGCCCCAGCGTGAGCACATGGGGCACGTCCAGCTCCGTGGGCCACGCGCCGGAGGCGATGCAGCCGAACACGCCGCACTCCTCCCGGATGCCCAGCTCCTCCAGCTCCATGGCGCGGGTAGCACGTGGCGGCCCCGCTCCCAGTCCCGGCCCCGCTCCGGCGGCTCCCGCGCACTGCTGCCAGCGGCGCGCTCGGCCCACAGCGCCTCCCGCCCGGGGCTCCCGGTGGCCCGCCGGGAGCCTCCCGCCCTCATTTACATGCGTGGGGGCGAGCACCGCACCCCCGGCCCGCACCGCTGCCTCGCCCGGCCCCGCCTCCCCTCGCTTCCCCTCTCTTCCCCTCGGCCCCGCGACCCCGCGGGGCGCTCCAGGGCGGGGGGGGGTATGTTTGCCCGCGGGGCAGGGGGCGCGGGGGGCCCTGGGCAGGGCGCGGTGCGGCGTCGACATTGGCTGGGCAGCGGGCCCGGGCCGTGTTTGCTCGGGGCAGGGGGGAGATGCTGACACCCGGGGCTCGCCCGGGGGGCTCGGCGGGGCCGCCCCGCTGCATTGGGCGGCGATTGGCGGGCGGCGCCGCTGCCTGCGGCCCGGCCTGCCCGCCCCTTCCGCCAGCCCCTTCTTACCCCAGCGGCCGAGCCCACGCCGTGCGCTCAGGTTCTCTCTGTGCTCTAGGTGCCCGTGCCCGCGCCCGCTCCCGCCGCAGCCATGGCCCCCGCAGCATCAGGTAACCGGGCGGCCGTCGCGGGGGTGGGTCGAGGGCGCCGCTCCCGCGGGCCAGTGCCCGCTTAGCGGGCTCGGGGTGTAAGTGCTCCGGAGCCAACTTTTTTCGCGCGTAGTTCTGATTTATATATTTTTTCTTGTGGGTGGCCGCTCCCAGCACGAGGGTGGGTACGGCTGCCCCCCGTCGCGCCGGAGAGACGGCGACGGGCAGTTCCAGGCGGAGGATGCTGCGGGCGGCTGCCGCCCCGCGCCGCTCAGATCGCGGAGCTCCGGGTTTGTCCCAAAGATAAAAAGAAGGTGGTGAAAGCGGCGCGGGTCCTGCCTGTAGCGCTCAGGCGGCAGCTCCTGGCTCCCCACGGCCGGGACAGCACCGCTGCCTCCCGGGGGACCTGCCCGCCTGCAACCGGCGCGTCCCTGGCGAGCCGGGCCGCCTGGGCAGGAGCCCTGAGCGATGGCTTTCGGCCTCGCTGATCGGGGGGAACGTGACCAGGTCGCACCATGGGTGGGGGCTTAGCGAGCTCCTCGCGGTCTCTGACCGCAGCGTGGGGTCCTGCTGCGTCCCCCTTTGGACGAGAAGGCTGTGGGCGGGCGTGCGGAAGTAAACAAGTCCTTTCAATGCTAAACTGATTTTTTTTTTTTTAAACTTTTATAGACCTGAAACTTGGTAAAAAAGTTAATGAAGGTAAAACGAAAGAAGTGTATGAGCTGCCGGACATCCCGGGATGTGTTCTCATGCAGTCAAAAGACCAAATAACGGCGGGAAATGCGGCCAGGAAGGACCGAATGGAAGGGAAGGCTGCCATTTCCAACACAACAACTAGCTGTGTGTTTCAGCTGCTTCAGGAAGCGGGTAAGTATTTTAAAGGTAGAGTATATGGTCGTGTGTTCCAGACATTGTTGCAAAACAGCATTGTTTTTGTATAAAGGTTTATCCTGCCTTGATGCTCTGGTGTTTTTTTAGTCTCTTTTTTATTAGTTATGCTTTTCTCTCTTGTACTTTAGAGATGGGTGGACGACTTGTTCATTTGGAACGTGAGAGTATTTGCAGTAATCTAGTCCGGCAGATAACTACAATAGTTTCTCCTACTTGTTTGGACGTGCCCCTAATCCTCCCCTTGCATACATCTGCCTGCACAGAAGTCACTGCTAGCTAGTGGCACTGCCAGACTACGTCTAGGCTGTGTGAAATTTGTGTATGAATGTTAAAACATTAAATTATAGTGTATTTTTCCCCTCTCAGTTGTGTTATAGCAACATAAAGTTTCTGTTAGTTTTGTACGTTTTTACAACACATACGAGGACCACATTGCAAATACATTTATCAGTCTGTATTGAATGTGTCAGAAGCTTAAAGCTTACTTTAAAAAACTCAAAATATCTCTGATGCCATAAGTGAGCTGTCACAGAATACATAACTAACTTGAGTCACTTGGGTAAGTTTTGTACTGCATTTCCAAAAATGGAGCCAGTCGCTTTGCTTTGAGAAAGCATTTTGAAATGTCTTTGAGAAGTTTGCAAGTTGCAAAGAGGAATTTGTGCTGGTGGTGAGTCTGCAAACAGTACTGTAATACAGGCACCAGTAAACTTGGTCAAGACTTTGAATGAATGCTTTGAAGCATTCACACGAAGATTGCTTTGAGTACCATCTGAGTTAGTCTAGAATTTGTATTATCTGTTATAAGGTGTGGTAATGGCTCTCAGACAAACAGTGAAGTCCTAGTATGTTTCATATGTGAGGAAGAGACAGATAGTTTCTGTAGAGTTGTATGTTTTTGTGTGAGTTGTTCCTAAAATATGGACTGAGACAAAGATACATCAAATAATTCAGTGTAATCCTCAGTTACTGGATTTCTTGGGAGTACAAAGAAAGCCTCCAAGGTATCTGATCATATCTGCAGTTGATTTAAACTACCAGTTTTTGTTTAGGAACAGTTAGTGAGATGTTTTGCCTAGTTTTTGACTGGCAGTAGTTAAGATAACAATGAAAATATTTCATTTCCTAGAAATGTGAACTTCTAACGTGAAGAAGCCATTCTGTAGACCTGTCAAAAATCCAGAAATGGGTTGTACTCATACCTTCCACAGGTGCTGTGGAAAAACATGCAGAGTAAACTGCAGCTGCTTTTTAAAGCAACAAAAGACCTTTCAGAGTTCTTTTCCAGTTTGCTTATTTGAGTGTAAATGGCAGATAATGTGGCTGCCTTATTGTAGAAGTAGTTTGTTTGCTTTGCGCAACTCTTCTTAACCTGCTCTTTCAGAGTTGATGATTTACGAAGTTCTGTTAAAGTTTCTCTCCCTTTTATAATAGAGCTAATGCCAGCCCAGCAAAAGCACATCTGCACTGATGAAAAATGTAGTAGTGAACCATACAGGGTCCTTAATGCCTGGATTTAGAAGCACCTTAATGTGCAGTTGATTATTTAAATCATTCTGCCCTTGAAGGAAACACAACAAAATCTGAAGAGTCAGTGTTAATACTATATTTTAAGACCTTTTAATTCCTTCTTTATGGCTCTGGAAGTGGTGTGGAATAGAGGTACTCTTTAGTTTGACTGAATGCAGCTCCTTTGCCTTCTGTTTCTGGCAGATGCCAGTTGGGCTTAACAGTTGTCTTACTCTGGGGTGGGGAGAAAGTTGGGACTTTCCTCAAGAGCGAAATTAAAAAAAAGAGCCATTTTGCACGTAAAATGCTGATCTGAACGTGTTGGCTGTCCCTGTTTAATGTGGGGTTGGTCATCTTACCATGTAAAAATGCTGACTTGCTGCAACAGGTTTGTTTGGGTACACAAGCTTCTGAGTTTTACTGTCTTTTGCCTAAGAAATCCTTAAGATCTAGTACCCTAAATAACTGTTTGCAATGAAAGGGAGGACAAAGCCATTCTGCTCTCTGCCCCATCCTCCTTTATTAAGCAAAATAGTAAAGACTACCATGCTCCCTTTACTTTGAAACCCTCCAATTACTGTTCCACTTATAATGAATGTTCTACCAGAGAGCATGGTTGGGTCTTGGTTGCTGCTAATTTTTTTTCTTTAAACAAACAAAAACATTGTGAAGGATAGAATTATTAAAAAAAAGGCTCTGTGAACAAAATTATTTGCAAGAATAGGATTTCTGAGCTACAAGTGAGTGTAGTATGATAAAACTGGCAAAACTGAAGACTTGTGGGAGATAACTGCACTGATTGCCTTTTGCAAGGCCAGGGTAGGCTTAAAATACTCAAAGATTCAGTATGTCCCTTAAGTCAAGGGAAGAACAAGATTCAGATGTACTTAAAATTTTGTGACCCTTGTTTCAAGTGGGGAATGTGCCTACTCATGGAACTAAGCTGCTGTCTTTATACTTAGGAATCAAAACAGCTTTTGTCAGGAAACAGAGTGACACAGCATTCATAGCAGCTCACTGTGAAATGATCCCAATTGAATGGGTGTGCAGAAGAATTGCTACTGGCTCCTTCCTCAAGAGAAACCCTGGTGTAAAAGAAGGATATAAGTTTTACCCACCCAAAATTGAGATGTTTTACAAGGTAAGTTTCCTTTCCTGTGATGTTAATCTAACTTAAACAGAGCTAAAACTCTATCTCCTTTAAAGTGCCGACAGGTAAAGCAAGTAGTGCTAGTGTCTGACCAACCCTCTCAGTATCAGTAGTTTTGCCATCCTAATGTTTTCTTGGATTCTTGTCCAACAGCTGTTTTGTCTAAAGTGCATACAATGCTGGCTTACAGGGCCATCAAAGAACAACAAGCCAAATTGTACGTAAGAATAGAAAAATGTAGGTATAAGAACTTTTCTAGGCATAAGCTGCACCAGTTGAAACAGATCTGTTGATATATTTGAAGAAATTAAAATAAACACTACTTGCACAGTGAGGGTAAGTAGCTAGCTAGTCACTTAGGATTCTGAAATTCTTTGGAAATGCATGCTCAAAGAAGTAACTTGTGAATTGTGACCTAAAATGTTGGTTTTGGTGTATCCTGTCACTTTTTTTAATGCTAATCATAAAATACTAGTTTTAAACTTGTACTTTCTTTTTGAAAAACCTAGTATCTTTTAATGGTTATTTTCCTCTAATAGCAAGCTTAAATTATGTGATGTATTTGTTCTGGTTTTCTTAAAAGGATGATGCTAATAATGATCCACAGTGGTCTGAGGAGCAGATAATTGAAGCAAAATTCTGTTTTGCTGGACTTACTATTGGCCAGACTGAAGTGGATATTATGGCTCGTTCTACTCAAGCTATTTTTGAGATCCTGGAAAAAGCGTGGCAGCCCCAAAACTGTACTCTGGTAGACCTGAAGGTATAAGAATTTGATTTCTTATGATCCCAGTTCTGACAGGAAATATGTCACTGTATATTTACTAAAATAGGATTCTTACGGTCTTTTTAGATTGAATTTGGTGTTAATATGCTGACAAAAGAAATAGTTCTTGCTGATGTTATTGATAATGATTCATGGAGACTGTGGCCAGCAGGAGACAGAAGCCAGCAGAAGGACAAACAGGTAATGATTTAATCTTTTTACCTTCTAAGTCAACAGGGAGGGAGAATTAAAAGCAGATGTTAAACTGTAGGAGTTACTTATTTCAGTATGGCTTTTTCTAGATAGTCTTATCTTGTTACAGAGTAGTTCATATGGTACCCAATGTCCAAGCTTCTTCTCATTTAAATAGTTTGTCTAGTTTGTGGTAGGAAAAAAAATCCTCTGTATATCTTCAGTTGAAATACCCAACAGCACAATTGACTGGAGCTATTGTAATAAAGTGTGGAGTTTCCAGGGATGATAAGAATATGACTTGTGCAGATAATAATAAAATAGCTGGATAACAAATCAGTGGGAAGAATAGAAGCTTTGGTTTCCAGATCTGCCTCCAAGTTTCTCTCTTTATTCAGAGTGGTATCCTCTACTAGTAGAGATCTGGTGATACACAAGAGGGAACTGCAGGGAGGATACTTTTCTTCATTATTTATTTTTGTTTAACCATGAATTCAATATTGTTGCCTCTAAAAGTGTTACTAATAGACTGCGCCCATATATGAGGACTGCAAACTTAAATTTCAAACAAAACTTGTCCTGTATTTAAACTTGTAGCAGTTATACTTCTCAAATATCTCTGAACTACCAGGTAAGTAGTTATGAAAGAACTGGTTTGGGAATGCTGCCCTGGACTTTGTCATGGTTGTTAAAACAATTCTCAATGTTAAGACATTCTCTCACAGAGCCTCTGTGAGAGAAACTCGTCGTAAGCCACAGGGGACAATTTCCAAAGTGTGTGTGGGAGGAAGGGTATTAATTTTAAACTGGAAAGCAGAACTACTCTATTGTTTACTTGACCTGAATTATGTAGTAGCATGCTTGAATGAATTGCTTTGATGGTGCTTTTGCTCATCTCCCTAAAATAAGGTCCATGATAACATGATGTAGAACCTAGGTTGGCTGGTACAGAAAATCATGTAATTACAAATCTAATATTAAAGAAGTTGTATGTCTTTCCTTACATTTTCCCTTTGGAAAGCTTCCAAAACCTTGATACCCTCGTGGCTAAAAGTCTTTTGTGTTGCAAATGGCCATAAGTTGTTATGTAGGAGGTTGTTTACACCTGCTGAGATAGTTCTTTATTAAATATATCCCAATATATTTATGTATTCTATATATCCAGTATATTTATATATTCCAGTGTCTTCCATATTCAGTTTTCCCATATCTGTACCAATCTCTGTTCTCCTTCCTGTGGAATGGCTAGAAACTGCATAAATATTTCAGTTGAGGTATAATAATAATTCTTATCTATTATGGTAGCAAAATGAGTGCTTTGTGTACCCAAACCACATTAACTTCATGTGCTGGTTTTGGCTGGAGCCGAGTTAATTTTCTTCACAGTGGCTGGTGTGGAGCTGTGTTTTGGATTTGTGCTGAACACAGTGTTGATAATACAGAGATGTTTTTGTTATTGCTGGGCAGGGCCTACACAGAGCCAAGGCTTTCCATGCTTTTTGAACTGCCACGCTGGTGAGGAAGTTGGGGGTGCTTGGGAGGCTGGGAGAGGCACAGCTGGACAGGTGACTCCAATTGACCAAAGGGATAATCCATACCATATGACATGATGCTCAGTATATGCTGCTGGGGGGAAGGAGGAGGAAAAAATGAGATGTTTGGAGTGATGGTGTTTGTCTTTCCAAGTAACTGTTACGTGTGATGGGGCCCTGCTCTCCTGGGAATGGCTGAAGCTGAACACCTGCCTGCCCATGGGAAGCAGTGAATGAATTCCGTGTTTCACTTCGTTTGCATACGTGGCTTTTGCTTTCCCTATTAAACTGTCTTTATCTCAACCCATGAGTTTTCCTGCTCTTACCCTTCCAGTTCTCTCCCTGATCCCATGATGGGGAGTGAGTGAGCTGCATGGGGCTTGGTTGCTGTCTGGGGTTAAACCACAACACTTCAGTATTTTTATTTTCCTCTTTTCAGTCCTATCGGGACCTGAAAGAAGTGACTCCGGAAGCACTGCAAATGGTTAAGAGAAACTTCGAATGGGTTTCAGAGAGAGTGGAGGTACCTGTTTTTATGAACAACACATCTAGACTTTCATAATTCCATGTCTTCAATCCTACTGACTGCTTTTCTTTCTCTCCCTCTCCACTCTTCTCCCTAGCTACTTCTGAAAACAAAGAGCCAAGGCAGAGTTGTGGTGTTGATGGGATCTCCTTCTGACCTCAGTCACTGTGAAAAAATAAAAAAGGCATGTGCAACCTTTGGAATTCCTTGTGAATTAAGAGTGACCTCTGCTCATAAAGGGCCAGATGAAACCTTGAGGATCAAAGCAGAATATGAAGGTAAATGCCAAAGAAATACTGATTTGAATTGAAACAGCATCATGTTCCAGAATGACTTGGCAACCTGAGGATTTATGTGGGGTTTTTCCATTTTCTGTTAAACAGAACACTAAGCTGTTACAACACTGATTCACACTTGCTAATTGCGTAATGACGGACTGTTCTAAGCAATTTCAGAGTAATGTATTGTCCTGTTGCCCAGCCACAGCTTCCATCCTCTGCTTTTCTCAGTACCAGAACTGCTTTGCCCAAGCCTTGCTCACGTTAACACATTTATTTTAGCATCTTGTTGATGATTCCATCCCTTCTGAAACAAGGAGGAATGATAATTTCTCTAGTTCGCTCTGAATATTCTCGTTATTTACAAAGCAGATATTGCTCCCACTATGCCTTCCTGCCTGTTTTGTGGAAGTATTCTTTCTTATTACTTTAGATGTCACGAGAAAAAGATGCTTGATTTAAATTGTCTTTGCCAAGAAAACTTGACATCTCTTCAAAACTTTATAGCCTTACAGATATGAACTATTTATTTTTGTGCAAGTATACTTTCTACTTGGTGAAACTACAACTGTGGTAACCATAATTGAGAAACACTTACTTTGAGGTGAACTGTTCAAGAAACTGTTCAAGATTTAAGGCAGAGTAAGAAATACTAACTTCAGTTGTGATAACCAGTAGGTGGGATTTAAGGCTGAGAGATTTAGAAGCTATTTCTGTAAAGGGGGAAGGTGAACACAAAATTCTAGTGCTGCGTAATGGAATTGACAAAACAGAACTGTGGACTTGGAAGTTCCCATGAAAGCAGGTGGTAGAGAACAAGGCTTATCACTGATTGTCTTCCTGCCCACCAGGAGATGGAATCCCAACAGTGTTTGTTGCAGTCGCTGGCAGAAGCAATGGCTTGGGGCCAGTCATGTCTGGTAATACTGCTTACCCAGTTGTCAACTGCCCTCCACTCTCAGCTGACTGGGGCACTCAGGATGTGTGGTCCTCTCTCAGACTACCCAGTGGTAAGATGATCTTCAACTTACGCTCCTGTTCTGATTTAGCTCTATTTTTGTTGTTCTGGTATACACACACGTGGAAAAGTAGCTGGATCAGTACTGAGCAAAGTCTTTAGAAATATGTTGTGTATAGTCTTTGGACTTCTTCATGACAAAAAGCCCAACAGACAGAGCAAAGATTACATAGGAATAGTCTTTAGAAAAATATAAACCTTGACTTATCCTTGCTAAATATTCCAGTATGAAATTGGAAATAGTACTAATGGGAATTTAAATAATTGAATTTTGTTGCGTTTTCCTTATTACCAGAGATCAAATAATACCTAGTATAGGTAAGACCTCAACACTTAACTATTACTTCAGTGCATTGCTACCTATATGATTTTTAACTTTGTTAGTGACTTGAATGGATGCTTGGCAATGGACTTGAATGGATGCGGGGGACCCAGAAGTCCATTACCTCTGTATAAGGGGACTCATTTGGTTTGATGGCTTTTGGTTTGAAATGCCATGAAGCAGTCATGTTAGTAGTGGAACATGTGGTGCTTCAGTAGCTTTAAAACTGGATCATTGCACCGGGAGGCTGAAACAAACCTTGTCTCAAGTTGTTCTTCAGAGGCAATGTTTACACTATAAACTATGCTTTAATAAGTGGCATTCTCTTCTCTGCAGGTCTTAGCTGTCCTACTACTCTGTCACCTGAAGGAGCTGCTCAGTTTGCTGCCCAGATATTTGGGTTAAACAACCATTTGGTGTGGGCCAAACTGCGATCAAGCATGTTAAACACCTGGATCTCCTTGAAGCAGGCTGACAAAAAACTTAGAGAGTGCTCCTTGTAAATCATACTAACAAGTGACTATTATTAGTTACACAAAGAAAACGGCGTGCATATTCATTCATATTAGGATTTACATTTGAATGAGCTCAAAAGTCCTGCATCATTTCTTGCAGAAGAAAGCATTGTTAGAGCAGAAGATGAAGTCTGTGTCCTCATCCTTCCCTTGTGTATTTTTTTAATATAACAACTAAGTAGAGATGGGGAAGTAGTATTTAGGTATCTCTTTCTGTTGCTCCAAAATGGTACTGTTCTGCTTTGTAGTTTATACTACAGACTATGTCAAGAGAATGATTTGGTGCGCTCTCAAATAGAATTCAGCTAGTCTTCTGTATTTCTGTAACAGTAATATTCTTCCGTACTATTGTTATATGTCTTGAACCTTATTAACTCAACTGGACTGCTGACTAAAGCCAGTGCTGATGCTGTTCTACTTGCAATGATGGTATGCTTTCTTTAGCAATAAAATGGCAACATCTGCTGTATTAATAGGAAAAGGGGGTGGAAAAATATTTTAGGAGCCTGAAATAAATACATGCCTTATTTAAAAAATGTATATACATACATGTATCTTTTTTTAAAATATGTGTGTGTATATGTACCCCATTGCTATCTTCTGGAATGATGCGATGTTCATAGGAAGCTATAAATACAATTGGCTTAAGTGACCTGTAACTTGGCTTGTTGCCTGCTTGCTGTAACTTTTGCCTAGTCCGGGCTTTGCCCTTTTAAATACTAGGTAGATCTCTACTTTCAGTAGTTCTAAAGGGCCTATGTGATGATGTCTTCATACACTTCAATAAATCTAGCTATTATATATCTATTTCCTCACTCTGTTTCTATGGAAACTTTACTGAACTGAAGAGGGGAATAAATACTAAAGCAACAAACTACTGGGGGGAAATCTAAGCATGACTTGTCTTTGCACACACCAGTCTTATGAGTAGGTACGATTCTAACAAATATGCAATTACTCAACGTGTGTAACACTTATGCTTTTACAATTATAAATAAACTACTGAATGCAAAGCTGCCTCATGGAGACTTCTTGAAAAGTACACTCAGAAATAGCCATCAGCTCTGGTATATGGCTTTAGGACTTCAAGGTAATGATAAAAAGCTTACGCACTAAAACCTGCCAGGAATGCTATTATGTGACAGCCTTCTGAAAGATACTCTGCTATTGATAAAGTGTCTCAAGTGTTACAGGAAGCTGCATTGCTTTGTTCCTAAAGTACTGCTCTAGGATGGTGTGGTACGTCAGGCTTACCCCTAATGTGAGTAACTGGATTAAATGCTGCTGCTGGCCTTCCTCACAGGAAGGGACCGCATCTTAGGCGTATTTGTATAGAAGAGCTCTGAGCAGTGCTCCCTTAAATGCAAGGGTTTTAAATTGGTCAAAGCTTACACTAAAGCAAAACAACTAAAACACTTCTTAGGCTTGAGGCCGGTTGCTTTTCTAATAAATTTTTAAGTGAAGTATCAATAATAGTGAGAGCTAGTGCAGAACAAAGAGGTTGAAATTCCTCCGTGGCATACTACCACTGACTTAAAAGTGAAGATCCTCAAGATCGCAGTTTTTTTCAGGGAGCAAACTATTTCCCAAGTTTGTACTTGCCTGCTTACTTAACCATGCCACATCTGAAAGCATGCTGTCAGCTAGCTCTCCTACCAAGACAGTGGTATTAACTTTGCCTATTAGAAGAATTAATGGGTGAAAAGAGTCCATGCTCTTCATTTGCTTGGGTGAGTGAACTGGATCATCTTATCTTGTAATCAGACAAGCACCAAAGCCAACAACTCTAAAGGAGATTGCAGCACTTCTTTCTCCTGGTGGCAGCAGTCTGCTAGCTCAGCTACATAACAATATACAGCCTGAGGGTGAAGTTACACAAGAGGTGAAGGTGTCATTTCCTATTCCTCTCTAGCCAGCACTAGACTGGGTGTTGGCTCTGATGGGTAATCAACCTGACAAGCTTATTAGTCACCTGACCACCCTGCCACCATGGTGAGATAGACAACTGCAGCCAGCCACTGCTGTCTCTTCTTACACCTTACATTGCTGTGCTGTTTTGCTCTTTCTGTACAGTCTTCCCCCATGTAATAAAAATTAGTAACAGATGATGATCTGAGTATTACACCTGGAATATTCTGTTCAGTCTCTAGTTACCTTTCTCAAATTACTTTCACTCTGATTATACAAACTTCATTTGTAAGATTGTGCCAATTTATCTTGGGCATGAGCATGCAAGTGCTTTAGTTGCCATAGAAATGGTCATTCTTTGGCTTTTGGATGGGGTGGGTTGCTTGGGGTTTTTTTGTGCAGTCTGTACTGAACTCTCAGAAGCAAATCCTTGCTTGAGCAGCTGCCTTGCAAAGAAGCAGTAAGACACAGCAGCCAACATAAACTGTGTGTTGCTGTGATCAGCAGACAAAACCTGCAAAGTCTATCATATCTGCAAGGACTTAATGTAGTTGTCCTAAAGGCCAAAGTGTTGCATATCAGTGGTTTCGTTCAGCTGGAACTTCTTCACAAAGTTTTTGCTGTGAAATGAACATAATTCCCCATGATTCAGCATTTCAACTATTACATTGATGCAATAACCTGAAAATTGCTTCAGTCAGAAATTGCTCTTGTAGCCCTTGTGCTTTTTTTGGTCCAATTTTAAAAACAATCCCAACAAATTCTTACTTTAAAAAGTGCTTTTTTATCTTCACAGAAAGTATTACATAGAGCAGTTACCGAAGTTTATTAGTATTTTATAAATTGAGTTGGAATACTTGTAATGGAAGTCTAATTTTTAAGCATCTGCTGTGGAACCTAGGACCCTGGATTCGATCATGTCCTATTTATAGTTACCTGCTTAACAGTATATGTTCTTTAAAAATATTAGCAAAGAACTTTTTGGACTTAGCAGAGGGAAGTGCTGAGAGCAGAACTTGGTTTACATCCTACATTGCTTCAGGTACTGGTGAGTGGCACCTGGTGCTCAGTTTTTATATCACTTTGTTTCAAAAAAAATCCAATCCCCCAAAAAAACACTCTGGAAAATGAGGGGAAAATCAAGTCACAGCTCCCACTGGTTTGTCATCCATCCACAGCTCAAAGGTTAAAGTGCCTATCCGGGAGACTGAAAGTGTGGTTTCAATATCCACTGCCTGGGGGGAGCTGTAAAAGTGAGTTGAAGGCCGAGGATGTGCTTTAGGCTTCTTGGGGATGGCATTAAGGCAGTCCTTGTTTTAAACTAATTCATACTCAAAGAAAAATCATGACTGTTCCCTCACTAGAGTGGGCACTTGGACCTTTTCTCACAGCCCCAGTGATATCTTTAGCAATGCAACTTAATTGTGAAATAGTGTCGGAAATCTTGAGCCATGTTTCAAAATAAAATCAGAGGTGCCAGTTGCACTGTATTTGGATTGTGTTGCAGTTGGCATGCCATGCATTTTCAGAGCACACTTCTTGTTCAAAATTTCCAAAAGCATACACATGATAACGATCAATTTCTGGGCTCAGACAAAAATAAGGTGTAAAGGTTGTTTGAACAATCAAGACTTGTTTCAAGGTACATATGAGAGAAGAAAGCTTTCAAGTTTCATAGATGGTTGATAAAAAGCAAAATAAAAAAATCCAACACAAACCCTGAATTTCTGGCATCTAGTATGATGCTGCAGTTCCAGTTCCCAAATCCCTGTTCCATTTCAGATCTAAGTGTGTGCATTCAAAGCTCCTCAGTGTTGCTGTGCAATGGCTCCCTGGGCAAGAGGGACCTAAAGTCACTTAAGCACCCGCTGTAGTGCTTTTGCAGAAGCACTTTAGTTCTTAACAAGGCAGAACAGCCTGGTACTCATCAAAGCCTTATCAGGATACACAAAGTCCCCCATCTACACAAAACGTAACCTGCACTCTACTCCATGTTAGAACAGTCACCCTGGTTATAAACTATTTGGTCCCCTTTCTGCTGGGGGAAAGGACAAAACTTAACCTTTTCCTTAATTCTTAGAAGAGTGCTTTTACGACCACAGGCATGCAGAGACCTGTAGGAAGGGAAGATCTTAATTTCCCTTTTTACCCCCACAGTCTCAGTTTATTTCCTTAAATAACCACAACAGAGGTTGCCTCTAGAGCTTTGGGTTTCTGCCTCAGGAGTCTTGTAGCAGGCCTCAGACAGGTTCTGTTAACTTTCTTCTGTATGGACTTCATGACAACTATGAAATGTCAGTTCAACTAGGGTGGGGAGCTTTCTGCAGGATTTACTTCCTGAAGAGTATACCCTGAGTGTAAAGACCTTTGAAGATTTGTTGTTCCATGTAGAAGGTAAAATTCAAAGCGTCTTTTAAGAAGGAATGAAGATGTATTTGCATGGAACTTGGTAAAAGAATTAACTGTAACAGCTTTTCTCTCTCCCCTCCTGCTGACAGATGTCATCACCAGTAGGAGGCTATTTTCACAGAAAAACAGTACAGCAAACAAGTTGCCAGAACCTCAACAGATGCTTGTGAATATCAAGCATCAAGTTCAAATTTTTTCAAGGACAGAGCTTTCCACAGAAAAGAAAGGGCTGTCCTTCATAGGCACTTGTTGCTTCCCAGACTTTGGGACTTCATCTGGCAGGCAGCAGTCGGCTGAAATGTCTGATAAATGGGTCTGATACACTGGCAGGGGAAAGAGGAGGGGCTGTGGCGGTCCCTGCAAGGAGCCCTCAGTCAAAACTGAGTCAGGTCTGATGCAAGAGGCGGAAAAATAAAAATAAAAAAAAAAGGATAAAAGAAACATCACTGCTCCCCCCTCCCCTTACAGCAGTGTCAGGAATAAGGTAGTAGCCCACTTTGCCAAGCCCCTTGTATAGCTCTTTATGCTGATAAAAACATTCCAAGCTGACAGACCAGAAAGTTCTTGAGTGCAAGGAACCAACAATCACTCAAATAGATAATATAATTAAGTATTTTAAGATGCCAAGCTCCAGAGAATTTCTGTTTGGATTGGAAAGTGACTGTATTTGTCTTAATACAGCACAGCCTCCAGTTTCCCATTACATCATTTCCCTTTTCTAACACATTAAACATCTAGTAAATGGCCAGCTTCCCAGCTAGTACAGGTTCATATTCAGTCTGCTTTAAAAGTTATTTCCAATATAGGACATTCTTCCATCTTATTTACCAAATGAAATCAAACCCCTCAACTAGAAGTGTAACAACTTCTTTAGCAACTGCTTTCTCTCAAATGTTCAAAACTTTTTGTCCTAGAGAGCCTGCCACATCCTCATAGGAACTCCTGACTGCAATGAAGCTACATCATACTATCACTAGTGCAATTATTTTTTTAAATCTATGGTGAAATCCCACTATTGGCCTTTGCTTGTAAAAGCAGTCACAGTTATTAGTGTCCAGGAAAGTATAACTTCACAAAAAAAATCAAGGCTCAGTGAACTCTGTTTTGCTTTGTTTTGATAAATGCCTGAGAATAATTTATATCCTAGCATTGAATGTTTTACAGCTTTGGAGATTTTGTTTGTTTGTTTTGGTTTTTTTGGTGTCGTTTGTTTGTTTGTTTTTTAATTTTAGAAAAGCACATAAATGAGAAGATAATGGGCAGATTTCAGTGTGATACCAAGTGGCATGGATACAATCCTCCTTGTATAGGTATCTCTTATCAACTAAGTGAAGTGACTTTCTTCCCATTATAAATCCATTTGTAAATAGCCAGGTCTCTACAGTCTAAGTCAGTACTGAAAAAGAAACATTTTAGCCTTGCACAGGTGGAGGCTGGGCGGTTGTGGTTTGTCTACTGCTCCTGAGGACCTGCTCAAAGCTGAAGTTTTAACCATTCTCTCTGGGAATTGCCCCTGCCCCAATGTCAAGTGAGCAGAGCCTTGCACTAGGAGGCTCCCTCGTGCTGTTGTCCAAAAAGACTCAGTTGTGCAGATCAACTCTACCATGTCTCACATGTAATTATTGTGAGTCTAAAGCAAAATTTGAGTATTTAGCAGATATTTACCCCACCCCACACATACTGAAAGGAATGTGTT